TGTATTGTTCGATACATATGCGTACCGAACCGAAAGCACTGTATCGAACGGTTCAATATCGATACGAGTATCGTTGCACCCCTAATACATATATATATATATATATATATATATGGGAAATAAGGGAATATACTCAGAAGGTGTGTACTTCATTTTCTAATTTTCTAATTTCCTAGCAGTCATAACGGACTGCCACTGTGTATGATAGTGAACAAAAAAGCTGATGTAAGTGGTGACACACTGCAGCAAAAATAATAAAGTGCAGCTGAAACACATTGTCAGCGCCACATTTATGTATTGCCTTTTCGGTCAGTTTCAGTTTCGAATCTGTCAGTTATGGGAGAAATCAAAGTGAACCAAAGTACTATATTTACAGTCAATTAAACCACCAAATGTTCAACAGAAGTGAGGGAAGAGCAGAGCTGGTGATAATTCTCTGTAAGTCTTTTTTTGTTTTGTTTTTTCCTGTCCCTTTCGACACTGTAGCAATCAGAATTATTGTCTGAAGGCCAAGGAAAATGCCAAACAGATTTATTATCCCAAGTGGATCATTACGGATGCCAGGAAATGATTTTCCAGGCGGCTCAATAATAACAACAACAACAACAACAACAACAACAACAACAACAACAACAATAATAATAATAATAATAATAATAATAATAATAATAACAACAACAACAACATATATATATCAGACACAAACATCCTCCACTGCAACCACTAAACATCCAAGGTATGATGCTGTGGATAGCTACAGGTATCTTGGTGTTCATCTGAACAATAAAGTGGATTGGACTCACAATTCAGATGCCCTCTACAGGAAAGGGCAGAGTAGGCTGTACCTGCTGCGGAGGTTCAGGTCTTTTAGAGTGAAGGGCCCACTCCTGAAGACCTACTATAACGCTGTGGTGGCCTCGGCCATTTTTTAAGGTGTGATCTGCTGGGGTGGCAGCATCTTTGCTGGAGACAGGAGGAGACTGAACAGGCTGATCTGCAGCGCCAGCTCTGTTCTAGGATGCCCTTTGGACCCAGTCGAGGTGGTGAGTGACAGGAGAATGGTGGCTAAGCTGTCATCCCTGTTGGAAAAGATCTACCACCCCATGCAGGAGACTCTGACAGCACTGAGCAGCTCCTTCAGTGGCAGGCTGTAGCTCCCACGATGTGGGACAGAGAGATTTCGCATGTCTTTCCTCCCTGCTGCTGTCAGA